AGTTTTTGCTACAGACAAAAGACAAATGGCCAAAATGTAATGTCAGCATTGCGGGGATCCCTGAAGATGACGTCGAAGTTAAAAGATTGGCTCAGTCAAACTCAGTCAATGTCAAGGTAAATGATATGACATCAATGATTTTCTCACACTTTTCAAACTGGTTTCGCTTGAAAAGGGCTGTTGCTTGGATCCTTCGATACAAATCTTGGCTACAAATCTTGGCTACTGGAAAAGGTTAAACGAAGCCAGATGCTCTTAAAATCTACAATATCTAGACGTATTGATGTTGAAGAAATAAAAGAAGCGGAAGATGCTATAATCAAGTGCGTGCAAAAGGAATGCTTTGTTCAAGAATTAAAATGTTTGCAATCATCTGAAGGCGTAGTAAAGAAATCAAGTTCCTTGAGGAGGTTAGATCCTGTAATCAAAAATGGGCTTATCTGTGTCGGTGGACGTCTCAAGCACGCACCCTATGAGTATGAACATATGAAGCACCCAGCCATACTTCCAAAAAGACATCATGTGAGCAATTTGGTCATTCAGCATTTTCATGAATTATCCGGACACAGTGGACAAGAATATGTTCTTTCCATCATCAGAGAATACTTTTGGATAATCCAAGCACGAGTGCCTGTGAAAAAAGTCTGCAGAAGCTGCTTTTCTTGCAAAAGAAGATCTCAAGCTCCATGTAAGCAGAAAATGGCCGACCTTCCAGTGAACAGAGTCACACCAGATAAACCTCCATTCACATTTATTGGCGTCGACTATTTCGGACCATTCCTGGTGAAAAGAGGTCGTGCAACTGAGAAAAGGTATGGTGTTATTTTTACTTGCCTTACCGTGCGAGCTGTACATATTGAGATTGCCAACAATCTTGACACTGATTCATTCATCAATGCACTGAGAAGGTTTATAGCTAGACGAGGAGTGCCAAAAGAAATAAGGTCAGACAATGGAACCAACTTCAAAGGCGGAGAAAAGGAGCGACGGTTAGCGTTACAGGAATGGAATCAAGACAAGTTACATCAATTTTTGCTACAAAGAGATATCGTTTGGATATTCAATCCTCCATATGCATCACATATGGGTGGAGTTTGGGAAAGAATAATCCGATCCATTAGAAAGATTTTCAAAGCATTGGTAAAAATGCAAATTCTGAGTGACGAATGTCTGCAAACCCTAATGTGCGAAGTAGAAGCAATCCTAAACGCAAGACCGTTGACAAAAGTTTCAGACGATCCATCTGACCTGAGTGTCCTAACGCCGAATCATCTTCTCCTTTTCAAAACCAGTTCAAATCTTCCACCAGGTGTGTTCAGTAAACAGGACCAATATTGTCGTCGAAGATGGAAACAGATCCAGTATTTGACCAATGTGTTTTGGCGAAGATGGTTGAAAGAATATTTACCAATTTTACAAACAAGACAGAAGTGGCAAGGTATTAAACAAAATATTTCCAAGGGTGACATAGTGTTAGTTGTAGAAGAAACCACACCTCGAAACCTTTGGCCACTTGGAGTGATCTTAGACGTTAATGTTGGAAGAGATGGTTTGGTTCGTTCAGCACTGGTCAAAACGAAGAACACAGAGTTGCTAAGACCAGTAAACAAATTATGCTTGCTTGAAGCCCAAGAGCAGAAATGAAGAAAAAATTCGCACTAGGAACTAAAGAAAAAACAGATACTAGGAGTAGCCTGTTTGGGGGTGGGTATGTTAGTGCGAATAGCCCTTGGTCGTTGTAGTTTAAGCTATTTTTATCTAGCCTCGTTTTTTACATTGCATTGTTTTCTTTACGCCTCTTAGTATACGTTTCATTAGCCCATATTTGGTATTTCCGTTTTTGCGTGTTCTTGCTTTTCCTCGTTTACTTCCGGTAGCTATAAAGGATTTGCACCCCACGTTTTGGGTGGTTATTCACTCGCCTTGCATTGCGCTGTGTTGGGGGCAGTTTTTCTATCGTTTACATGCAATTTTTGGCCTGGTAGTTTCTACATGCTGTGTTTGGCCGTCGTGCAAAATTTTTATGGCTACGAGGACTAATAGATTGTAAGTTGTATGTATTATTATGCTCATACTTAACATTTTGTAGTCTAGTTGGGTTTCTACGTAGTTCTATCTTCTGCTAACATTAATTGACCTTTTATAATTATTCATTTTCATTATATTGTAATATTAAGCTTCTTGTCGTATTCTCAACTTATAATCTTCATGTATGTTAATTGCTAACATTTTTCTTTAGCGAACCACGTTTAACACATCACCTCAGAACCTGTGTTGTTTCTTGCTGTGTTATCTGCTGGGGATTTAGGTGTGGTGCGTTCGATATACCAAAGTAGTCAGAATTACAAATTGTGGACTACACATAGAAAGGGCTGACGAAACGTTAATAAAAGTTGGGGAAGAGGTGATATGTTTAGATTGTTCAGTGGTTAGATAAAGGCCACCACCATGGTTTTGAATTCTGGCCGAATTCAAGAAAAATTTTCGAAATATGACATCATAGGGATGGCGAGAAATGCCTCTAGAATACTTGCCACATCAGCTTGTCGAAAGGAAGATCCTAGGCAATACATGTAAGCTTTCGCATTTACAATAATTCCCCATTCCCTAATAGTTTCCAATTGCCAAAAAGCCAAGATCTTATTCTCAACTATCAGCGACAAGCACAGCATCTTCGACACACATAACTTTGAAAAAATTACTAAATGCAAT